TGAGTGATTAGAAAATGATTATTAAAGATAAAATGTTATAAAGAGAAAAAGCATTTAAGTTGAGAGGGAATTTGATATAAGTTCTTTAAATATAATTATTGTTATATTTAAACTTAATACAGACGAAATCTTTCGAAGCTCTCTAAATTTGTTGATCTTCGCAACTCAAACAGAACAGCTCGGTACACTATATAAAATTCCAAACCTCTGTAATGTAAATTCCGTGGATAAAATAATCTATTCAAAGGTAGATAAAGTTGTATAATACAAGTATATTCCAGCTGTATTAGAATTTAGTTAAAATATATAAGATGCTAGGTAATTATATACCTCAACAAGTGATTATATTCTAGCTCCTTTTTTAGTAAGTCCCAAGCCTTTAAGAAAACACTAAAGAATACTGTTGCTAAAATTTAAAGCTTCATATAAGCGTGAGTGGGTGTGAGCAAAAGAAAATAATTTGCTTCGAATACTTTATTTAAAATATCAGCCCTTTTTTATTTTATTTTATATTTCAAGATATTTAAGGTTTTGTTTTCCGTATTGGAAAGCTATTCCAATTGTCAATTCTCCTCCGCAATACCTAAATAAATAAATATTTATTTTTATCTTTCTTCTTTCTTTCTATCTTCATTTTTTGTATTAATTTTAAAAAGATGGAAATGGCTGTACGTAAAGCTACACGGTTGGATTATAATCCGCCGAAGTTAAAGCATCTTCTTAGTGAGTAGATATAAATGATTTAATTAAAGCAAGCATTCAACTTTTTTTTTTTTTTTTTTTCAGCTTTAAAAGCCATGACATTCGAAAATCCAGCTAGTATTGATGGTATTCTTATGTTACTCGAGAAAAGGTTAAAGGAAAGATCTTGGATTGTAGGTTTATTTTTTTTAGGATAATAAATGGAAAGACACTGACATATCCTGTACATTAAATCCTAGGTTACATATAAGGTTTTAGCTGTTGTTCATTATCTAATGAGAGAGGGCAATTGTGTGCGTGTGGTTGATGGTGTCGTAAAAAGGCCAGGCGTATTGGATGCTAGTCGCATAAAGAATAAATCTTCAGGTAAGCTTTCATACATAATAAGTGAAAGCTTTTTTTTTAAAAAACTGTAATCTTATTTAGCTCCTGCAAACGTGCATAATATATACTTGTATAGGGTATATCTTGATGAAAGAGTGATTGCATTTAGACATTTAAGAAGAGATTATGTAGCTGAAGAATCCTCATCTAAAGGCCAATGCAGATTACGACATCTTTCTATCAAAGATGGGCTATTGAAAGAACTGGCATCTTTACAGCGTCAAATGGAATCCATTGTTAAATGCACTGTATGTTTAAAGAAAAAAAAATACTGAGAGGATATTATTAAAAATAGAATTTGCTTAGTTTTACTTGAACGAGGGAGATCCTTCAATCACTCTTTTTGTTTATCGAATGACTATCCAAGATAGTCTTGCTGTGTTTCAGGCGGTAAATGAAGGAATTGTTAATCTTTTGGGTAAATCAGAACACATTCTCTTCTGAACTTTAATCTAATTTCTTTTTCTCTCTTTCGTTCTTTATGAATAGAGCATTATTTTGAGTTACCAAAGCCATTAGCTACAGAAGCATTCGAAATATATAAAAAGTTTGTTGAGCAAACTGAACTTACTATCGGTTTCTTGAATATTGCACGAAACGCACAAAGTAAATTGGAAATAGACATTCCATCTATTAATCATGTAGGTTTCACTAACCAAGAAAATCCTTAAAAACTTACCAAACCATTTTCGTTAGGCTCCGCTCACGTTATCTAATGCATTGGAGGAATACGTCAAGAAGAGCATTACTAATAATGGTAAAAATGGATTATTTGTATATTATGAAGAAACGTTAGACTAACTCCGATGTTACTTTAGAAAAGGGCATTCCAAAAGAGACCCTACCGTTAGCTACTATAAAACCAGAACCTTATATTCCACAACAGCAGCAATCTGTTACCTTGTCTCCTAACGCTTTAAATATTAGTACCAGTTACTTCGATGGCATTCCTAATGAGCGTCTTACTATTAATGATCCTATCGATCAATCAATGATAACAGGCTTATCTCCTCAAAACCCTTTCAGTCCACTGATCAGAAGGCTTCCTCAATCTCCTATTCAAGATACATTCACATCTCCATTTGTTGATAATGATAGTACTTTTACACAGCCATTCAGTGCACCTATTTCACCAACTCATACGCATGCTTTAAATAGACGTCCTGGTCGAAGTGACAGTAACCCATTTAGAGCCTTGTCCAATCATAATCTTTTACCAAGTTATCAAAATCCACTTGTTAGATCAGCAACTGTCCCGGATATCATTGCAAACTTTCAAGATCCAAATATCACCGGCTACTTTAGTAAAGCCCAAACTTTCAATCCCTTTTCATCCATTTCGCCACCAATGACGCCAAACCAAGCCTTCCCACCTCAAACGATGATGTCCAATCAGCAACAACAAAATACAATATCACATCATCACTTGAATCCTTTCAACAAAACTGTTCAACATACTGCCTCTATCTAAAATAAGAAAATAAAAAAATACATTTACTCTTTTTTTTTGTTCGGTTTAATATTTAACCTTAGCGCACACACACATAAATTGTCTTATTCTTTCCTTTACCACTGTTTTTACGCGGTTATTTTCGTATAAAATAATAGAAATATGCTTCACGAGCTATTGTTTGTATTATCAGGTTATCCTGGTGGCGTGTTTACTCCTTATCCCCCTCCTCCTAAACAGTCGAGTACTTTTGCTATTACATCGGATTTTGAGTTTCTTCATCCTACAGAACGCGAATCGCTTAATCGCTTTGGTCAATTAGGTTGGATCTATGCTCAAATCAATCAGTTCACTACAAGTATCAAGGATCTTCGGCATGATACAAAAGACAAATCACGACCTTATGGTTCTTATGTACAAACTCTTGTTACTTGTATAGAGTCTACTCTTAATGATTATAGAAAAGACATTCTTGAAATTGAAAAACGTATTTTAAACAAAGAGCTAGATTCAGGGCAAGGCATCGTTTCACTTTCGCTATTAAAATCAAACCTAGGAAGATGGGAGATACTTCTCCCTCTATTATGGAGCTTTATTCAACAATTAGAAGAAGATCCTCAAAGATATCACGGCTGTCTATTGTTCAATCTAATCATGGATCAAGCTCGAACTGGCATAATTGAGATGAGATTGGAAATGGAAAAGATGATGGTTCAACTTCACAATGTACTCTATCGACAACTAACAGCATGGATAGTATATGGACAATGGGTTGACCCAGATAGCGAGTTTTTCATTGAACGTTGTCAAGATACAGCAGAAAAAGCAACTATTACAAGTTGGAATCGACTCTATTGCATCAATTACACCAAAGTACCTCTGCATATTCCACATGATGTTGTTGAATCTATCTTATTTGTGGGTAAAGCCATTGCCACTATTAATGAGATGGATAAGATACCTGCGTCTGGTAACTTACACGAGGACAATACCCGATCAATACGTTCACTCAACTTTAACCAGACAATACGAGTACCAGAAGAGTTGAAAAAAAGACACCTTAAACTACTCTTAATGCTGCATTCGTCTCAGCAGAATACTCAACAATCACCTTGGATCAGATATTCACAGCAATTACAATCTACGGTTGATCAAGTAAGGCGATCTACTACAGACTGGCTATTCTCTAAAGTACTTGTTAATGAGCATGGTTTACAACGTTATTTGATATCATTTAAACACTTTTTTCTATTGGATTATGGCGATTGGGCAGTTAATTTTATTCATGAATGTAGACAGTGGCAACGTAGATCAATTGAACGTAGTTTTAATAACAGCGTAAAACACAATATAGAGGCATCAAAAAGCAAAACAACACTTATATTTAGAAAGCAGGAGCTAAATACTTTGCTGGTCAAAGCGACACAAGGAACAGAGGCAGAGGATCAGTTGGATGGCTATAGTTTACTTGTGCAGGAGTCACAACAACATGATTATCCATTCTCTGATTTACTACTTTCTGATGTGAATGCTGTTCTTACTTTTAAATTGGAATGGCCCATTGATCTGTTCCTTAATGAGTCTGATTTGGAGAATTACAGTAATATTTGGTGTTTTTTGATCGGATTGAAGAATACACAAATACAATTGAATAGACTATGGAAAACATTGCGTACAACGAGAGGCGATAAAGGATATAACGAAGATGGGCACCAGGAAAGAGTAGTCTGGCGTCTTAGGGGTCTTATGTCCTTCTGGGTAGATACATTTTGGAATCATTTACAGGTATATATATTTAGTGTATATTTAGTGTAATATAGTTTAACACTGATGATAGATTCATGTAATAAGCTCACACCATAAGCAACTTATTGATTCTACTACAACAATAAAGGATAATAAAAAGGGAAAATTAGAGTTTGAAGATATTCAAGAAGCACATAGTCACTTTCTGGACAACCTAATCTCTGGTTGCCTACTCTCGACTGACTGTAGTATCATTATACATAGAATATTAAAGAGCTGTTCAGCATTCTGTGAATTAATGGAGCGTTTGTCAGAAGATGGTAAATGGCAACAGTCCAAAAGACGAAAAATGACAAAAACAGCAGCAGATATTGTTAATCAATGGACAAATAATACTTCAGAAG